TTTTTTTTTTTGGGGGGGGGGATGGGGGGTGGTGGTTGTATTTTGGTTTGGTTTGGCTTTTTATTCAGATCCCATCAAAGGGGCCATTGTGGGGAATTCATCTCAAGTTCCCTGGAGCCGTCTTCGCCATTCCCGCGGACGCTCGCTTCTGTTCTGAGTAAGTAGCCGCGGAGCTTTTAGTAACTCTGCAAACATGGGCATGAAAAGGATGTCCCGGCAGGGCAATGAGGCATGAAATCCCGCTGTTCCTTTACATAGTAGCAACATCCACATGAAAGGGCAAACACCCGACGTGCCACCAAATATAATTGCAGAGATGGCGGATGTCGGCGTACAAAAGGGCTGGCGCCGGTTTCTCTTTCGCAATGGCCCTTTGCCGCACGCACACCCGCGAACGAACCAAACCACCTGTGCCTTCCACGGGATTTAACCGAGTGGAAAACTGAGTCATTGGTACCGTGCTAAATATAAAGCGGCCGGGATAAACTCCGCCCGCAGGCAGAAGCGGCACCGGCGCAGCCGAGCGGGGCCGCGCCGGGAAGGTGCCCGCTGCCTCCGGCCCGTCGGGCTCGCAGCCTGCCCCGAAAGGAAAGCCAGTCATGGGTCCCTCCGGCCTTTCTTTCCTCTCTCCCGACCAGCCATGCCTCCCTCCCTCTGTCCGGAGCAGCATTGCGCTGTCGCGGCCTGGAAACCCGGAGAGGCGAGAGCAGGGCGGTCCCGGCGCCACGGTGAGGGTTGCGGGGACACGCCGCGCTGAAGGGGACACTTCGCCCCTCTGTCGTTTCGCGGAGACACCGGCAGCTGCTGCCCGCGTCTGTCTCCGGCAGGTGCTGCTCCCCGGAGCCCGGGTCGGGCGGCTGCGGCGCCGGGCGGCCAGGCGGGGCGGCGAGCGGGCTGCCCCTGTCCCGACAAGGCACCGAGTCGTAGCAAGGGCAGCCCCCTCGCCGCTAGCCTTCAAGTGCTCCGGGCTGCTGAGCGACCGCGGCTCCGTGTGCCGCCGAGAGCCAGGATAAGGCGGCAGCGTCCAAGCTGGTGCCGAACCCTCCCCGCCCCGTCCCGGCCCCTCTCGGCCAGCGTCCGACAGCAGAGGCGGGAGAAAAACGTTCCTAGGAAGGTGGCAAAGGGGATGGAGGGGGGAACAGGCAGACAGGAACAGTCACCACAGTGGAAAGATTAAATTTCTGCGGAGAACATACCACTCCGAATGTATTTTGTCAGGAATCTGGAATCTGAAAACACAAACAAACGGGGTGGGGAAATCCCAAACAAAAGCAAAATAAAACCCGCCTGCTACAGATCCTCCGGTAAGCGAGACGCTAAGCTTCCCACCAAGTCGTTCCCATCAGGGATTATCGCCGTGCTTGGCTCCCGGCCCTGCAAGCGCCCGCTAGCCCTCGGCGGAGCCCAGAGCGATGGGGCGGCCAGGGACGCGCGCCCGGCCGGGAGGGATTTTATACATTTCCCAGGATTTAAACAACTCTCCAACTCGCGCTCATGCGCCCGATAACATAACTCGCGGCACCGCAAGAGAGGAGACAGGGGCTGCTGCCACCGCCCGGGGCTCTGGAGCACTGGGCAGGGAGCGGATCCCGTTCGTGTATTACGGGCAGGGGGAAGCAAGATCTTCCCAAACACCCGGTGAGAGACAGCCAGCGGAGCGACCCCGGCCACCCTCTTGGTCCGGAAGCATCGGAGGGCTGGGAACCCAGTGCCGCGCCTTCTCCCCTAAGGGCGAGCTCTGAGGATGCTCGGGCCCCCGCGCCCGCCCCTCCCTCCCTCCGCGGCCCCGTGCCGGCCCCGCTCCCCGCCTGCCGTGAGCCGAGGGCGGCGGGGCCCCCGCCGGGCGGCCGCCCGCTCCTCCGCACGGCTCCGCGCCCCGGCGGTGGGCGGCCCCCGCCCGTCACCCTCGGCAGGGCGGGCCTTGCCGGGGGCGGGCCGTCGGGCTTGAGGCTGTGCCGCGGCGTGGGAAAGCGCCTCAGAGAGGGTTTGCTCTGCTGGCGGTGCGGAGGCGTGCTGTGCCGAGCCGTGCCGAGCCGTGCCGTGCCGAGCCGTGCCGTGCCGTGCCGTGCCCGGAGCCCCCCCGGATTTATTTATCTCTGCCCCCTGGCCGTGCACACGATGAAGCGACCTTGCGAGGAAACTACCTCAGACAGCGATATGGACGAGACTATAGACGTGGGGAGCGAGAACAACTACTCGGGGTGAGTGGGGCACTCCTGGGGCCGCCGTCTCCGTCGGTGCCGCGGGCCGGGGTGCACCCCGAGCTGGGGCTGGGCGAGGGGGAGACCCGGACATCCCCTTGGGATGAGGTTGGAGCGGGGGACGGCCCCCCGAGGGCAGAGGTGTTATGTCCCCCTCCAGGTCAGCTGGCAGCTCGCTCGTAGCCCACCAAAAATTAGCCCCGCGCTTGGACTGCCCGAGCCTCGAAATTGCGCGCAGCACTCCAGTAGCTTTTGTGAGCCACCGGGCTGCGGTTCATTAGCTCCGCTTAATTTGCCATTTGCAATCAGACCTTTTCCAAAATCGCTCCTGATCAGGCCGAACAACCTAAGGGAACTGGCGCCAGTGGGAAATGAGCCGTGTAAAGTGAGCAGGGATCCTCAGCAGCTGAACTTCAGCAAACCCGCCGTGCGAGCCCAGGGCGAGTAGTGGTGTTTGCCCAGGGAGGGTCGGGCTGAGCGCACTGCGGGGACCCCGAGGGGCTTCAGGGCTGCTCCTGCCAATTTAGAGGTTCATGCACCAGAGCCCTATCTCGTCCTCATCAGTGGCTAAATGAGTATTAACTTATACTGATTTTTTTTTTTTCGTGTGCTTATGATGAAATAAAAGCAACTTCGTACTCGTGGGTAATATAGTTTTAAAAGCAGATTTTGAATTCTGCTCCTGCTACTGGACAATACAACAGAGCCAGGCCGGGCACCTGGCATCGTACTTGAGCATCTACTGGCTATGTAGCAATGGGCAGCAACGTCAAAACCCTGCAGGCCTGGCATAGGTTGTGTCATTGGGTATGTCCACTAACCACTGCTGTTGCCATATAGAGATGGTTCTTGTGGATTTGGGCCTGGTTCTTCAGCCTGTACTTGGTAGGCAGGACTTCATATGCAAAGAAAATGAAATATTTGCTGGACAGTGAACTGTCTCCAGAAAAGGACTTTATATCCAATAGAGTGTTCTGTCAGTTCAAAATGTATGCTGCGGCAGTCAAAACTGAAATGTGCCACTGTCTTCAAAAACACTGTGCAATGCAAGACAAATCTTAAAAGCACTGAAAATGGCATTAGAGGGACTGTGCATATGTAATATGGTGACCTAAGGTGTCTTCAAAGAGCAGTGTCAATTTGTGTAGCACCTGATGAACTTTTATTGTTTTGCAGGCAAAGTAATAGTTCTGTCATTCGATCAAATTCCCCAACAACAACATCTCAGATCATGGCCAGAAAGAAAAGAAGAGGGGTATGTTTCATTTAATTATTTTTGCATCTGACAGTTTGCATGTGTGCTGTGATTTTGCCCTTCATTTTTGTAAACTTAATGTGTTTTGTTTTTTTGGGAATAGATTATAGAGAAAAGGCGCCGTGATCGTATAAATAACAGTTTATCAGAGCTGAGGCGGCTTGTGCCAACTGCTTTTGAAAAACAAGTAAGCTTTTTTTTTTTTTTTTTATAAATTCTGTATCTCATCTGGCAATGTTAGTTCTCTTGTAAATCTCATTAAAATAATACTGTATGTGTCCTGATCTGGCACAAAGCAGGCATTTCAATAAAATGCTTTGTTGTGGCAAAACTATTAGAAACATAATTCATTATAAGGCTGAAAAACATTTCCATTCTTTGGCTAGTTTTTCCCTTAAGGGTAACTGTGTTCATGTTGCCTCTGTTCTTTCGATGAATTCCAGTAGTGGTTTTGTTAAAAATGTTCTTTACTCCATATTAAATAAAAAATAAAAATACACAAACCCAACACAACTCCCCAAACCTGTATGTAAATTAGCCATCTGTCAAAATCTTTAAATATAATTTATTTTGCCGCTACTTTAAGAGACTTTTTTTTTCATATCTATGCTTTCCTTTGCAAACTAATCAGTCCAGTTTCCTGAAAAGGGAGCGGACAGTCTGGATTATTCGTGTTTTAAGATGACTCTTTAGAACCAGTGCATTAAGAGGAATAGGCCCATGTTGTGTGAGCTAGTGAAGTCAGTGATATATTCAGACTTTCAATGAGGAAGTATTTAGTAGGAAGTCTGGAAGGATCCAGTTAACTTTGGCTCAACTCCTTGATAATGAAATTACAGACCAAGAACTTTGAATACAATGTTTCGTAAAAAAAATAACATAAAAAAATTTAAAAGGGCATTTTGGTTTTTCCATTCAAATTAATTTTTTCCCATATCTTTAATTTTATTTTTTGGGCTTTGATTCAATATTTAGCCTTGTTCCTGTTTTGCTAGAAGTATCTGAGGATCTGTGGATATGTGCAACTGACACTATGTTTCAATAAAAATGAAAAATCTGAAAATAAATAACCTGACTTCCTTGTAACAGTAAAATAAAAAAACCCCAGAAAGTAAAATCTGAGAGCAGGATTGGGAGGTGCTGAATGTAAGTGGTAACTACGTGGCAAACACCGCACCATGTTAGGCCTGCCTCATCCCTGGCGTGAGCAAATGCTGCCTTAAAAAAATAAATTTGAAGTATTGGTTGAGAGCATCACTTGTGTCACCTGCAGTATGATTTTTAGTAACTAGTAGTTGTCACCGTGCCCTTGCGTTGGCTCTGGCAAAACAGTGACAGGGATATTTTCAGCTAGATAAACAGGGGCAAGAGACAACAGTTGTTTGTCCCATTTTATTGTTTATTTCTTGAAAACCACAAACATTATAAAACAAGTCCTACAGAGCCCTTGGAAATTACCCAGCACCATGCAGTTTTTAGCTATTAGTCACTCTCACTGAGACGGCTTGTCCTGTGTCTATGGAAAAGATGAAGTCTGAGAAAACTACAGGATGTAGTTGCATGTAAAACGGGGAATTCTGACCAGAAATTCACACGCGCATCAGCCTTGATACGAGGAAAGCGTTGAAAGCAATAAGCAGATTTAAAAAAAAATGCACTGACATAAAAATGAGCATGTGCCGTATTTGAATCAGAAAGTCCCCCCGTTTTCCTGCAATATGCCAAGGACAAAGTCATCAGTCCTTTCCCAGCTCCTTGACATTCAGCTCACTGGAGTTTCCAAGTTGGAGGTTTAGTTTCGCTTCCGCCTCCCTCCCTCCCTCCCCAAGCCACTGCTGCTCCCGAGTGTGGCAGAGATGAGTGCCCTGAAGAAGGGCTGCACAGCACCCTGTAAGCTTTGCCCAACTCAAAAATGTGCAGGCTGGGTGAGGTGGCCCAGATGACAACTAAGAGAAAAAAGTTGGCTTGCAGCATGCGATCTGCTGATGGCTGCAGCTTGCACATCCCTGATTTTAACTGATGGCAAGGATCATCTCTTGCACTGGAATAACATTTATCTTACCTGGTTGTGCTCCAGATATCAAGGGGAATGCTACCAAGCAAAATAGTTTTATTTATACATTGATATACTAATACTGTTTTTTGAGTTGTATTTTGTACTTTTCCAGTAGCTCTGTGAGGCACTCTCAGTGTCAGAAAAGATTTTTACTGACAGAGGAGCTACACTATTTCACAGTATTTAGTCCTTGCAAAGTAGGCCTCTCGCTAACTTAAAATACTGTGGAGTGCGTGGCAGTTTTTTCAATCAAATAATGAGAATGGAATATTCAACAACCAAATGACACGTCGAAAATGAACAGGCCATGAAGAGAGGGACAGTGCTGGGTGTGTGTCCGCAGGGACACCTACCGGTAATAGCACAAAAAATAACCTTGCAGCAGGGTCTTGATCTGTGGCCACACAGATTCCTCCTGCTAGCTCTCCGCTTGTGTTTGTTTTTAAAAAGGAAGTCCAGAAAGTTACGTATTTCTCTCACTTCATGAAGATGTCATCTCTATACTACCTTCAAGGCCAGAGCTGTGCTGAGATATAGCCCTAATAAAGGGAAATTAGGGAGATGGTATAAGTCCTTAGACAAAGTCTGGGAAGCAGATGCTCATGAAAGAATTAAGCTGAGAATGTCCTAATGATAGGGGAAATGGAAACCATAAGGCTGAGCTCAGTAGAAAGTATATCAAATTAAAGTTTCTAGTACTCATAAGCCTTTGCTTATATGTGTTTCTTATCTCAAAGGGATCTGCCAAATTAGAAAAGGCGGAAATACTGCAAATGACAGTGGATCATCTGAAGATGCTGCAGGCAACAGGAGGGAAAGGTAAGGAGCCAATGATTTTTTTTCTAATATTTGGGGAAATCTCATTTTTAAAAAGTGCTTTGAGGAGCTGTGATAGGCGTTTCCAGATTAAAGGAGTGGAAATCAATGCTAATGGCAGGATTGAACTCGTGGGAAAGAGCTACTGGGACAAAAGAAGCACTTGACCCTGGGCTTGTGTTTGCTTTCATAACACTGTGGGAGTAAAGGCTTCATTCACAGGCAGCCCAGTCAGAGATTTGTTTGGGGTTTCCAAAGAGCACTGAAATCTGCACAGGGAGACAAAACAAATACACAAACACCAAACATAAACAGGAGGTTTGTGGCAACAATTGTGTAGCAAAAAACCTAATGCTAAACCTCATTATTGAGCTGCTATACCGAAAGAGGTGAATGGAGAAGAACTTTAATTTATGTTTAAATATATCCTTTGTTCTGGAAAGGCTTTTCAGTTCCAGGTTAGAGCATCTCATTCACCAGAACAAAACCCAGACTTGCTCTATGTAGCTCCAGGTATGTGCTAAAGCAGAGGGGCAGGCAGTGCTCTCTGCACTCACATTTCTGTGCTCTATTTGTGTGTCAGAGGCCGGCGTGGCTCCCTGTTAATGGGTGCTGGTGTGACGCAGTGGCTGCACTGGCTGACCCATTAGATCAGCCGAGCGCCAGGGGTTGAGTGTACCTCGCTTGTGCAAGCTGACAGCCCCAAGGCTGGAGGCCAAATTGTTTCAGCCACCCACGAGGTGATCTGTGTAGTCATGATTTTGGAACTTATTTGGAGCGAAAAACTTGCTGGCATTCCGTAAGCATGGTCCCATGTCCCATGCCATCGACTGTGATCATGCTCGGAATTGTTGTAATGGAAACCAGCTGATTCTTCACTCACCCACTATGCTATATAGGTAAAGGATGGAAAAGAAACTGCTGCCTTCTCTCTCTTACCTTTTTTTTTTTTTTGTCAAAGTTTTTAGCCCATGGCTGAATTATGCTCCTTTCCGTACCTTGCAGCAATTAAAAATCTCAGCTTAGAATCAGTGCATGCCTAACAGCAGATGGCTATAGGAAAACATGTTAAAGGCTGGTGTTTTGTTATTTGTGAAAATTAACACCGAACTGACATACCTTTTTTCTAGATGTTACGGATTTTTTTTCTAGGAGTCCATTTAAGCTTAAAATTTATGGGTAACTTGTTTGGTAAGAGATGAAAGGAATTTTATTGCCCATCAGGTAACAGACATGCATTTGATTCCTCTGAAAATGTACAAAATTTAAAAAGAAAATTAATGTAGATATGTAAAAAGTCCTTGAGAAAGCACTAGAGTTGCTAAAGCTTCACTCTGGAAAGTTACAAAACGCCAGAATTGATCATGGTTATGCAGTTCGTATTCAGGTGATTCGGATCCTGTGTATCCGAGTGATGGTGCCTGCTTTGAATGTGTGGTTGTGGTGTTGCACAAGCTCTGCCTCCCTGGGTATGCACACAGTGCTCAGCTGCTGAGGGAAGTGGTGGCTGTTTCGCTTCATCCTCCCCACGCCACGTGCAGCTTAGCTATCCCAGCCTGACCCCCATGTCACACGGCCACCCCTCCGATGTTTGCACAGCAGAGGGACACCCAGGAGTTGAGCTCAAATGGAGACCTAATTTATCAGGAAGCTTCCTTCCTCTGCTTCCCCACCCAAAACAAGTATGCTGGGGATTTTTTTATAAATGGGTCAGGTCAGGTGGCTGAGTGGGGCAGGGGATGAAATGCTGAGGATGGGAGCTGCAGGACAGAGATGTTGGTGGATCCCAGCCTCTGACTCAATCGGACAAGCTGGATGTTGTTTGGAGTCCCAGGTCTTGCAGTCTGCTCTCTTCCTTGGTTGGTCTCTGCTGCCATGTCTCTCCTGCCCCAGCTGATACTAGCACAGCTGTGGAGGGCAGGGAAGGATGAAGTGTTGTGGTGTGGGGAGAGGCAATGCAGGCGTATTTCTGTGACTGCCTTTCACACCATGATCCACAGTGGGTGGCCCATCACAATAATACCCCATCGCTTCACAAATACTACAACTTTATCTGCTCCTTCTGTCCTAGAGATAAGAGTAATCTCACTGCACAGATTAAGAAACTGTAAGAAAAAAGAGGTTTGAGAATTAGTACTGGGCAAATTTTAAGCCTGCATTTCCTGCTCGTTTAACGTTTTACTTTGCAATTTAACTAACAGTTTTAAATATAATTTATTTTTAAAGTAGATGTTTGTTTTATTTGCAAGTATAGTTGCTCCCATTTTGTAATTCATCTTGTGAGTCAGAGGGGCTTTTTCGTATCAACAAAAAAAAATTAGTGTCATCATTTTTACCAGGGACAAACACTTATTACTTCAGAAAGGAGAAATGGGTCCTGATACCCATATGCTCCCCTGCGTTGAGGACTGTCCTCTTCTTCATGCAGAAAGGAAGACATCCATGATGGGGAATGGGTGGGACTTGGCAAGTCGGGATGGGGTTGTCCACTGCTCAGCGCACTGATCCCGAGGTGGGCACAGCGGGAAAAAAAAGCAGCATGGCTTCTGCCCCTTCTCTGCTTTTCAGAGCTGCCTGGGCAGGCAGGCAAATGCCTCTGAGGTCCTGTGCAGGCTCTGTGCTTCCGCCGCCCTGACACAGGTGTGAACAGTGGTCTCCTGTTCACATTGAGTTATTATTTTGGCCTAAGGCCAGGGCTTTTTGCTGATGGTGCAAGCAAGCACAGTGGAGGAGTGATTTGTCAACAGTGAGTTGCTTGCAGAGAACTCAGTGTGGTTTTATTGCAGCTTCACTACAAATTTATCTTGAGTGAGTGACACCTGGGTCAGTGCACGGGTTCATGTAGCTCAAGTGACCTGTGAACTGTGTGCAGCACAGGTGGGTTACCAGGACAGATGAGGTAAAACCAAGAGTTCCTGTTCACTACAAAACACTGGCATGTGCACATGATGGAGGATGTTCTTGGGTTGGAAAAGAAATGAGAAACAACATTTTTAAGTCTCTCTCACAAGGGGGAAGCCAGTAAAGGGGAAACTGGGAAAAGATAACCATCAAAATATAATGGAGTCTGGGAGTCCCAGCTCTCATCTACCCTCTGTTTTCATGTCTCGGCCACCATAGGAGACTGAAAGGGAGCCAGGATCACCAGGGTTTTGGGATGGCTTGTCAAATAGCCAGCAGCTCAGACTCAGGGGAAGCTGGTGACAACCACATCCCCCATATCTCTTCCAGTCCGAAGGGAGGGAGGCTGGGAAGCCCAGTCTTGAGCCGAGTGCTCTCAGGACTCCCAGGCTGGCTGACTCGTGGCCAGAGCTGGGAAGTGGTTTTGGCTGTGTGTCAGCCCCTCTGAAGCTGCTGGAGGTCCTGGAGCCTCCGGCACAGGAGCTGTCCCCACGCCAGGCTGACTGGCACCCGAGAAGGTGCCCTGCTATCTCACCACTGCCGGCATGGCTGGCCTTTGTTTCTCAGGAGTTCACTCAAACCTTTAGTCGCAGTGGACGTGGCAGGAAGAAAGCTGTGAGGAATCAGTGTTTGCAGACACGAGTTCTCAACTCCTTGTGCTCACTGATCTGCTGGCTGAGCCAGAGTTTCTCTCAGGTTCAGATGGGCAAGTAGGTCTGCAGCAAAAGCGCCATTGTGATTTGGCATGATGGAGTGTATAGTGGGCAGGGGATTTGGAGCAATATTGATAAATGTGCCCGAGTTAATTCTATAATGTGGGCATCCAGCAGCAGAAACACTTCTTTCTAGCTTGCAAATTGATTCAAGTGAAAAAAGACATCTAAAGTGCTGGCATTTTTCAGAAAGGCAGAAATTATTTCATGACAGAGTACAAGGCATTGCTGCCACATTCCACCATAAGAGGGGTACTTGATCTTTTATATACTGACACACATCACAGTCATGCATACTTAAAAATTTTCATTGAAAGTGAGAGGGAAAACACCATGCTAACTTGGGAGTGGATAGGATAGTATTCCCCCAAGGAGACAACATTTAAACTACAATAGGAAAATCCCAAAAACTAGAATAGGTTTTTGTGGTTGAAGAGCTGCAACTTAAACACAAGATTTTATGCTCAACCCTTTTAGAAAGGGAGTATCTTTTCATGTGCATTTAATAAGACTTTTTTTTTTTCAAATGCTTTTTTGTCACAAGCCTGTGGAGCTCCAGTTGCTGTTTGTTGAAATACCTCATGGGCCATATGACTGTCAGTCTTCCATCTCCAAATTAGCAATGGCATTACATAAAACGTTTTCTCAGTAAAGCTTTTTATTGTGTGTGTGCAGAGTCATCACAAGATGGTTTTTGTTTGTAGTTAAGCAACATCGTATGTCATATTGTCTTAATGACTCTGTGAAGTAGATGGGACCCCGGCAGCAGCTACAACAACTTACCATGTCAAGAAATAGTTTGAAAGCTTTAGGATGAATGCCAGTGTAGGGAAGAAAAGGCAGGGTAGTACATGCAAGCTCTCTGATCTCCAGCCTGTTTCTTTGTGTGGATAAGCATCTCATTCACACATACAGGATCAACACTGCACTGCAGCAGCTTGCTGAGGAATGTCAGGAGAGGCATCATGTATCTTTTAAAGTGTCTTATGGACTTATTTCATTTGTATATTGTCTATTGCAGCCTATTACATTACAGGGATGGTGACAGAGATCATTTACAGAGCAGAGAACAAATTTCTCCTGTTGCACACCTTAACCCATAAATGGCAAACGAGAAATGTGGTGACTGAGCCGGGACTGGGTTGGCCGGCTCCACATTCAACACATACTTTGCCCTCCCCTTGCAGGTTATTTTGACGCTCATTCCCTGGCCATGGATTTCATGAGCATCGGCTTCCGGGAGTGCTTGACAGAAGTCGCGAGGTACCTGACTTCGGTGGAAGGTCTCGACACATCCGACCCTCTGCGCGTCAGACTCGTGTCTCACCTGAGCACCTGTGCCTCTCAGCGGGAAGCTGCTGCCATGACCTCCTCCATGGCCCACCACCACCACCCCTTGCACCCTCACCACTGGGCAGCCGCCTTCCACCACCTGCCGGCCGCTCTGCTGCAGCCCAATGGACTCCACGCCTCCGACGCCGCCCCGTGCAGACTCTCCTCGGACGTGCCCCCGCACGGCTCCGCCCTGCTCACCGCCACCTTCGCCCACGCCGATGCCGCCCTCCGAGTCCCCTCCGCCGGCACCATCGCTCCCTGTGTCCCTCCCCTGTCCACCTCCCTGCTGTCCCTGTCGGCCACCGTTCACGCCGCGGCGGCAGCAGCCACCGCTGCAGCCCAGAGCTTCCCCCTGTCCTTCACGGGCACCTTCCCCATGCTCCCCCCTAGCGCGGCCGCCGCCGCCGTGGCTGCGGCCACCGCCATCACCCCTCCGCTGGCCGTGTCAGCCGCTGCCAGCCCGCAGCAGGCCGGCACCGGGGGCGGCACGAAACCCTACCGGCCCTGGGGGACTGAAGTTGGAGCCTTTTAAGCCTCCCCCCACATACCACACCTCGTCCCACTCCAGCCCCCTCCTGTCCCTCTCGGCATGTGCTCACAGCCACGAGCCCTCACGTCCCCACAGCCGCACCAGGACCCGCTGCGCCCTCACTGCAGGAGTCGGAGAGGACCTGGGGAGACACCTTCTTCTTCTTCTTCTTCTTCTTCTCCTCCGTTTGTCTTGCTGGAGGCACCTTGAGGCAGCAGCAATGGCTTTCGTAACAGTGTGACCACATGGGCACGTAGAGGTTTCCTGCGAAATACGTAGAAATACGTAGACATTAGAACTAATAGTTCTCCAGCTATGCACCCTTGTTTGGCAGAGAGGTGAGGGATTGCATCTACCGGGTCTCCCCAGGCTAGAAAAGGAGCTCCAGTTTCATAAGTGCCTGACATTGAAAAAATAATAAATAAATATATATATATATATTATGTGTGTGTTCTGCTAAAACAAATAACATTGCACAGGTATGGAAATGGTATGGGAGAGAGGCAAAATTCTGCCTTCAACTTCGGAACTAGGATACTTTTCCAAGGCAGAGCGTGTTCTTGAAGGGGAGAGGTTTTTTTAGCCAAAATATTACCGAGGAAGAATGTTTAGTTTGACAGGCCTAGTTCTCGCTTCCTTAGTTCACTTTCTTTGTACAGACTTGCCAAATTGTGACGTCTAGCATAGCATTGGCAAAAGCAATTATCTTATCAGTGCTGGGATTAATGAACGTTTCAGCACTGCCTGTGAGCCCCGAGGCACCCAATTTTATAGCTTAAATATGGTGCTAGCTCCTATCTGCACAAACAGTGAATTTGTCATGCACCCAGAAGTAACCACCTATTTAAAGTGTGCACATTTGGATACAGTGGATTCATGCCAATACAAGAGACTCAGTGTTGTAAGAGTTCAACTTAACTTATTTAGTATTTGGACATTTACTTTTAGCTGATTCAGTGCAAGATCCCTCTTCTTTTCACTATCAACTTCTGGGAGAATGATCACTCTGGGTATGAATGAAGTTATGGTAGGGATGATTTTTAAATTGGCTATTAACATGCCAACATTGTAATATGGGTTTGATTCCAAACCAAAATGAATGTATTAATGGGATGTGAGTAAATTATTTTGTCAATACCCAGATAACTAGTGCTGCATAAAATGGTTTGCTTTCATTTTTTATTACAGTGACTTAAAATAACCTAAGTATTTTAATACAACCAGTCAAGACCTAGAGATTTTATGTAAAAAAAAAGAAAAATAAAACACAGCATGTATTATTATGCACTTGATTTCTCTGCTGTGTGGAGAAAGCAATAAGCATTGAAAATGTTAAACATTATGCAAAATATACTTTAAAATATTTGTTTTAAAAATACTGTACCTAGTTGGTCTTTTATGCATTACTTTGTTAACCTTTTTTCTATGCAAAAGTCTTTACATATCACTAATTAAATGAAGTCCTTTTTGACTGCGTTTTATGGATGATTTGTTGCAGTATTTGTTTGCTTTTGAAGAATACTTGTGGACTCAGTGTTGTTTTCTGCCCTGGTAACAAGCCTGTTGGCTGCTCTGTACTCTTCTGTTCCCCTTGCTCAGCCAGAAGCCCATCTTGTCCAGTGTGCTCTGGAATAGGCAGGGAAAAGTAGCAAAGCAGCATTGGTTTCCAGGCTTGCAAACTGGATCTGCATTGATGGTATGCTTAATCATACAAGCACTTCTGTTCATCCTGGAGAGCCCCAAAAATCATTGGGGTTTCTAGGCTCAGCTTTCCAAACGGTTTAGAAGGTGAAAATGTTAACCTAATGACATCATTAATCCATAAATATATGGAATGAGAGGAGGTAGTTTTTTACCTCAAATTCTGGTCTTCTAATTTGACAGTTCTCACTGAGGCAAGGGTTTGTTATTGTTTCATCAGACCTGCTAAGCCCCTCTGTGGAAATTGTGGAAAGCTCTCTTTATAAGGATGAGGACAAAGTCTTACATATCTGAATGCCGAAATAACAGCTGGCAAGACTGAGGCACAGAAAAAAGAGATAATACTACAGCCAGACAGACACTTCACCCATCATCAAAAGCCTCAGCAGCCTCAGCTCGGTGGCTCACTCCCTATCATCCTTTCTCCCATTTACTAAACCTGGAACCCATCCCTGCCTCAATCAGCTGGTCTCCAGCACTTAAGTGAGATGGGGTTGTCATTCACCTGAAAAGAAGAAGCCTTGCAGCTCTTACACTGTTAATCAGCCTTGATATTCTTTGAAGTAGTGTTGTTTGGGGGGGAATATGACTTTTTTTTGTTAAGGGCAGAAATGCTGTACTGCTGTTCTGGCATATTTGTCAGCATACAGATGAGGTATCATTCACTTTTAAATGTGTATTTTCAAGGAAAAGAGGCTGGTAGAGAAAAAGTGGGGTTTATTTGCATGAAAGAGCAGGTTGCACCCCTACTTCATTGTAAGCTGTTAACTATTAACTTGCCCTCGAAGAGCCTGGTAGGAGGTCCTCCCATGAATGTATCATCTTAAAAATAGGCACCCACTGACTTGGTTCTGCCTAAGGTCTTCATCTAATTGATGTGCCTCAAAACATAATTTGTTTCCTGCAATGCAATATTCTGCCTCCTTCTAAAAGAAAAGGCAGTTTGAAAAGACTCTGATTAGATACACACCAGGGAAAGATTTGTGCAGCCTGTTTGTGCTTATCCCATTTTCAGTTTCAAAAAACAGCCCAGATCCATGAGTTGCAGATGTCTCCTCTATTGCTTGTTGTGTTGGCTTTTGGTTTCCACTATTTCTTCTTCTGTTGTCTTTTGGGTTGGTTTGGTTTGAATCAAATCACCTAGAGGACATGAGGAGCTCATCCTTCATGACTGCTTATTCCTAGGCTGTTGGGAATGTTACCTCTCTGAGAGAGGATGAAGATCTTTCCAAGTGAGAAATTAACGACAAAGACATGTATTTCACATGTGCTGTTGGAAAGACATCAGAGGGTAATGCTTCTGGTGGCTTTGGTTGTAGCTGTGCTAACAGGTTAGAGCTGAAGGCGTCTAAACAGTTTGTTTTTTAAAACAGAGCAAGGGAAAGCTGTTTCCTTGGCATAACCGAGATGCAAAAGTTAGGACTCGTGGCTGTGTGCGTGCAACCTTACTTCAGCCCTTTTCTACCTTATTGTGCATTCAATGATGAATAGACCTGGATGAAGAATAAAGTTAGTAATTTATATAATTTAAGAGTAGATCATGGCACATTCCACAAGAACACAAGTCAGGCTGCTTGTTCAACAAGTTAGCAGTTGGCTTTGACTAACTTTTCAATGGGTGGGTTTACAACTTTAAATTCCAGTTATCAAGAGGATCAAAGCAGGTTATGCAATTTCTTAGAATGTTTTTCTTAAAAGGAAAAAACTAAAAACCAATTCTGTCACTCAGCATTAGCAAGCACGAAACCTTAGCCCTCAGCAATGCAAATAAAAAGCACTTAGGCTGCTGAGAGAAGATTATTACCCTAGAGAGGAGACAGGCAATTGAGAGGCAGTGCTGCCTGTCCTCCCTTTGCTGTGATTGCAAGTGGAGGAAATCCGGCATTAGGTATTGCCTAGAAGAAAAACCGGCTACTGTGGCCAAGGGCTGAATGCATGTATTCAAAATAGAGTAATTGTCTCCTGGCTGTGACTACCTCTGACTGAACAACTGCCAGGAGGTGCCAGCTCATGCTGCTGCCTCCTTAGTGTGAACCTTCAAAATGTTTGCAGCTATTTTGAAAGATGGTACTTCAATCAGGATGTCATGAGATAAGCCTGGGACATGGATTTTGGCAAATTCTTAGGGCTATTGTAAACAAGGAATCTCTTCTTTGCAACAGGAAAAGGTCACAAGTGTCTTTTAGTCAAAAGATACAACATCAGAAAATACTGATGTGGACTTTTACCAGCTCTGTAGTCAGCAGCCTCATTAGTTACCTGCTTCTATAGGCACGGATAGCCTGAGATCACACAGCTGAGCACCTGAGGGATTGAACTGGTAGTTTTGTTCAACTTGGAGAAAAGATGAAGGAATTGATATAGCTTTTTTTGCAGGATTTGTGTATCCAAGCTTCATTTGTGTGAGGTCACCGCATGAACCTGAGTTAACTTTACTCAACACTGAACTTTCTACTCGTGCTCTGTTTCTCTGCTTCATCATTTTACACAGCAAATGCTTGGACATTTATGTGTAAAAGTCTTAAAGGAATGAGTGCAGCAACACATCTGATCATAACCAAAAATAATAAGCAGAAAGAGCACCAGGCAGGTGCTAGAAATGCTGAGATCTCCAATCAAGGTTACCAAACCTGTTCTGATTTATAAATGAAATAACATTTTGACAGATTATTGACAGATAATTTCCATAAAATACGTGAGATTTTCCTTTTTTTGGAGAAGGTGTGTTTAGTTTTGATTTGTTTTTTTATCCTGGTAATTGCTACTACTGGAAGTTATAAAGTGCTATGAATGTGCAAACACAATAACTCAGTCATCATCCAGTTGCCTAAATGTTTGCCATATCCTAAGTTGGGCATCAGGTATCACTTTGGAGGGGGTAGGTCTCCCTTGTGTCCTGTGTCACCTCTGCCAGTCCTGTGCAGGTCCCTGGGAAACCCAAGTTGCTTAAGAGGCACGATATATGTATGGCCAGGCAACTGAATTTCTCCCTATCTTGCATCATCTTTGGAGATACAAGATTTGAAGCTTAATAATATTTTCACATATGATCTAATTTTTTCAAAGAATTTTTCAAAGTGTTTCTTCCTCACCAGAAGAAACAATAGAACAGTGTCAAAATCATTTGGTGATAAGGAATTATCATATAACACTCCCATAAAACTAACACCAGTCAACACCTCAATCAACACTAATTTTAGAAGTTCTCTTAATGCCCTGACTTCAGTAGTGGTGGTGATTATAAGATGACATCAATTTAATTTGTTTTTAAAGGGATATTTTTCTGCATTCATGGTGGCAATATAAATCTAGGTGCATGAATTAATGTTGTACCCTAGATACTCAAATACCAA